TAATATATAAAAAAATCCTTAAAGAAAATATCCTCTGGGCTTCAAGTCTTAACATTTGTAGCCGGAAATGCCTAGCTTTTGCAGAGTTTCAAATCCAAATTATATATTTTTCTAATCCTATTTACGTTTATAGCACATCAAAGAAGTGCAAGTCATGTCTAAGACTGACTCACAGAATTTCATCACACTCTTGCTGGCCTGTGTAATTGGGAAGTACCTTTTGGGCAGGTGCAACTTTTCGACCGTGTGCTAAGCAAATGGCAGTGTGAAGCAGGTGTAATAACCTTCTAGCGCATGATMAACAAATAAATAAATTACGTGAAAGTGAACAAAATAAACAGAATTGCAATAATTAATATAAACAAATGAAGTCCAACCACAAGTTCTACTCAGCCTTAGAACTGATATACATATACGATGTGAATTAGAAGAAGGCGCTGAAAATAAAGAAAAACAAGTCGAGTTCTCAGGCAAATATAAGGCCGACGAAATTAGGTTTGCAGCATCAGTTCAACTTAGAACGATTTACCGAGTATATCGAGAGCGAGAGAGCAAGGAAATTAAATCAGTGAAAGATGCGTTTAACACTTTTGGCGCTAGTTGGCGCAGTTTGCATCGCCTGCAGCTTTGCCCATCCTCTGGAGGAGCAAGCCGAGAAGAACGACCTGTACAACGTGGCTGATCTGGGACAAGGCCATGCCAATGAAGAAGGACGACAGGCTCGATTCCTGCTTGGAGGCCTTGGCGGCCTTGGCGGCTGGGGCGGCGGCTGGGGTGGAGGCTTCCGTCGCGGCTGGGGCGGTGGCTGGGGAGGCGGCGGCTGGGGCGGCGGCTATGGCGGCGGCTGGGGAGGTGGTGGCTGGCGTGGTGGCTGGGGCGGCGGCTGGGGTGGTGGCTATCGTGGCGGCTGGGGCGGCGGCTGGCTTGGCTAAGCTCTGCTCAAGCAAGCAAATCAGCCTCTACCAAGAACGACCTGCCAAGCAGCTGCTGCACAACAACAGCTTCTAATCCTTTACTGGTGTTTGTGTTTGTAAATAAAGAACATTTAAAAAACGAAGGACTTAGTTTTTTTTCTATTTTAGAGAACTTTCTGAACGTCACAGAGTTTTAAAGAAAATTGTATTGGCTTTATAAAGTTAGAGGGAATGAAATAAGAAAGCTCTAGTCGAGACTGCTCGACTGGGAAGAGCAAATGATGAAAAAGAGCCACAGAAAATCATCTCAGTTGCCAATGTATGTGTATTCTTTTGGTATTTATATGAGTAAAACGAAGCTAGAATGCTTGAAGCAATAGAGAGAGAGAGTGTGTTCCCATAGGCTATTTATAGCCGAGCCCTATTTATAACGAGCCCTACCTGACGTCGGCCTCAACATATGAGCACGACTTAGGCTTTGAGTGAAAGTCGATCTATATAACAGGCAGCAGCTTCAGCATTTCTTCAGTCGCCCAGACCCGGTGGGGGTCATTCGTGCAGTGCATTAAAATGAAGTCAAGTGTGTGATCATTGCTAAGCATTAAAGACATGGAGGCAATACTTAGAGGAAATACTTGAAGACAATACTTGAAGGAAATACTTAGAGGAATTAAAAAACAATTTTTATAAGAATAATATTTAATACTTTATTAATGCCTTTACATACATATATATTCTGCATCCCATACCCAATCTAATAAATCAAAGTCAGTCGGTATATATATTTTTCGAGCAATATTCGTTTTATTGCATAGCTTGCTTTAAGTCGTACGACAATTTAACAATCAAACTTACATAATGTACAAAACATATACATACACATATATAAATATATTTATATACATATGCATATACATGCAATTCGTTAGGCGCTAGGTAGATGTGAAAGGGAGTTCGAAAGAGAACGCAGGGAAAATGCATAAATATACACAGAGTGGGAAAAATGAAAGGAGAGGGAGTGAGTGAGGGAAAATGGAGACAATATACATATACATATATAGAGAGACAGAGGTCTGTGAATCCTTTGCTGCCGACCAGCTGAGCTTCATCCTGGATGTTATCATACAAATATATTCAATTATACATATATTGTAAATATATATATATTTCTCAATGGTCGTCATATGAATTATTTGAAGAATCTGCGTGGAGCAGCGGCAGCTGGGCTAACTGGAGGTGGAGTTGGAATGTGAGCGCCCTCGGCACGGAAGCCATTCTCATCGGCGATGTAGGTGATGGTATAGAGAACACCATCGGGGCCGGTGTACGAGTAGGAGCCTTGCATGACCTGGCAGAGAAAATAAGATGATTATGTTGAGAAGATTCTGAGAAGTGTCTAAAAGTAGGCAACAAAAGCTTTAGAAAGCTTTCACTTGCTCTCGAAAGTGGGCAACGGGTAAAAGTCTACCTGAGCTTCCAGCTGCGAACCGGGATTCTTGAGGTAGCCAGCTTCATCGGCGCGAATTCCGTTGCTCGTCTCGTAGCTGGGAATAAATTATATGAGAGATATATAATTAAAAATGTAAATGTATGTCATTGTATAGAGCATCAATCATATATACTATTTGCTTCAATCATTTTTAAATGTTAGCTGGATTAGCATTATAAGATAAGATTCATATCTTAGAATAACTATCTGGCTGATTATCCAAATAATCTAAGACATATAGAATCCTTAAAAGCTTGGCCATGATTGAATTATTGACTAGTTCAATGACGATAGAACAATGGGGGTATAATAGATATATAGGTATATAGTATAATAGTTATCTGAATATTAACAGAACTGAGTGAATGATTGACTGACTAGCTGACTTATACGTCAGTAGATCTATTAACGCGACGATCTGAATGATTGACTGGCAACGAATACCAGATTGAATGATCGATTGATTGATTAATTGGTTGACTTATTACTTGTTAGGCTAACTGACTGACTAACTAGAGAGCTGTGTGTACCATAAAGATGTGGGAGTGCCCCTGGCTCCTGACTGAGTGACTAAATGGCAGACGAAATGATTGATTGACTGACTCTAAAAATGCTTGAGCGTTCCAACTGATTAACTGAGTAACCAAACGACAATTTGAAATTTTAAATGTCGCACATCATCATCAACATCAACTTACTTGTATTGATAGGAGCCATCCGGATTCAGATCAAAGTTCTGCTTGAGTATCACAGCGTTCGCATCGTATGAGTTGCCGCGGGGCTGAGCCAGACCGCGTTGTGGCTGAGCTGTGACCAGGCACAGGGAGCACAACGCCAGGACGGCGACGACGTAGGCGGAGCTAAGCAACTGCATGACCTTTTTGTGTGTTTGATAAACGACAAGGCAGATGATTGGTTAATTGAGCACAGCAACAGCGACAGCAACTTCAGATAATGTCAAACGATGTGAATAATTGCAATTGATGGCTCTACTAATAACCAGCAATCATCTTTTATGGCATCTTTTGAAAGTCAAAAAATAATTGGCGAAACAAGAAGGTCGCAGCTAAATGCTGCCTAAATATGCATATGAGGAAGAGGAAGAAGAAGAGACACAGAAGTGAGTTGTGAAACATTGACGGGGTACTAGATTATATGGGCATATGAGTAGAGGGCGGTAGAGAGAAGTGAAGTATTTATGTTATCGATTATTGGTTATCGATATTTTGCTGAAATTACTGGGATACAATACAGAGTCGAGAACTTTGAAATAGAGTTAAGAAACTGACAGCTAAATGTCTAATATGTGAGAGAGTGGGACAGAGCATTAAGGAATACAATATCGATCGATCGGTTCTTGACTATCGATACTTTCAGCTTATTTGAGTTTTGCTCAGAAGTATTTTAGCCTTTGCTAAGAAACTTTTTAGAGCAACTTTTATTCAATTATTTAAGAGGAAATGCAAGCAAGTCCCGAGTACTATTATTTCTTGACCTTGACCTATATATTTTTTTATTTTGTATCAGATCCTTGCTGATCCTTGGGCACAACACACAAAACACCAGATTTGCAGAACTCACTTTAATAAATTTGAGCGCGATTTTTGTGTAGAACTGAAGCGTTTGTGTGGCGCTCGGAAGGCTCGTCAAAACTGTTTTGACTTGAATGCAGTCGACGCAAAGGTTTTTATACTAAAAATGCATTCACTGAGCCGCAGCAGCAGCAGCAGCAACTACAGCAACTGCAGCAACAGCTGCAGCAGCGGCAGCGACAGCATCCGCAACGAGAGCAGCGCAGCAGCAATCAGATTGTCAAGACGAAGAAGAGGCAGCAGCAGCAGCAGCGGCAGCGGCAGCTTGAAGATTAAGAAGCTGTACGTTTGACAGCAGCGGACGAGTTGGCAACAGAATCGGAAGAGGCTGCCACTTGTACCACGCGGCGTATGCGCAACGTGTTTGAGAATGCAAATGGGCGTTGCGCATACGCCGTGTATAAGCAGCATAACCATATGACTGAGTGTGTGTGAGTGTGTTATATTAGTTGAGCCGACAGCTAAGTTACATTCTGTATATGTGTAGATGTATGTGTCTCTGTGTGCGTATGTGTGTGTGTGGCACGCCAGCTTGTCTAGGCTTTAATTTATGTGAATTAGCAATGCGAAGTTCATTTGATTAGCCCACGCTGGCGTTTACCCACACCTCTCTGCCTCTCCCTCTCTCCGTCTCACTCTCTGTGATGTGTGTGATTCAATTTGCGATGCGCCGCAATATGCAATAATTTGTTAATTCAAATATTAATTAAAAGATTAATAGCAAGACTTATGGCATGGATGTTGCAATGGGCTCGTTGAATCTATGAGCATTTGCTTGCATTAAATTCTCGTTTCTTGTTTTCATGCTTATTGACATTTGCAATGCGATTGCCTTGGGGGCGGGGCTTGGCGCAATGTTTGCCCACTTGCTTATGGAACACAATTGAATGCATCATCCAAAACCCAATCATTTGTTTGCCATTGTTTGATTTGCAGCATCTCACAAAAAATCTCCAGCAGCAGCAGCAGCGGCAGCAGGAGCAGCAGCAGGAGACGCGGCAGCAGCTGTTGCTAATCACAATTTAGACATTTGAAACGCTTGCGCATGTTGGCCAATTTGCTGACCAACTGTGCCACTCCCCTGCACCAGTTCCCACTGAAAGGTGAACCAAATGATATGCCCACCGCAAAGGGTATGCGGCAAAAGGGGGCGGGGCTGAAGCTTCAGCTGTGCTAAGCTAAGCCAAGCTAAGCCGGCCGGCGCATAAAAATTGCAATTTTCAGCTTTAAACTTTAAACTTTTGCAGCGTGTAGGAAATGTCAGTTGCAATTCATAAAAATTGCAGCAATAGCAGCAACAACAACAACAACAAGAGGAGCTGGAGCAACAACAACAACAACAAAGAGTGCGCGCTGATCACGAACATGCCATGATGAACATCGCGCGAGATTAACGCGCCTCCAACCACAACAACAACAACAATAGCAGCAACTGCAAATGAGAGTGCTCTAGTCGGGTATGCGTGACCATCAGATGCTCTGCAAACATTGTTCAGCCAATCCATATATAAAACATATAAATTTATATATGTATGTATGTGCTTTGTATTTATTAGTATGGAATTAGGCTAGATATTAATTATTTTCATTTTATTTTTAAGAATATCATTTAATGTTTATACTTTAATTAAAATACATATGTATGCCAAATCATATGCCATCGTGTTGTAGTAAAAATTACCACATTTTCTGAATGATTCCCTATATATGAAACCCATATACATAAACCATATAAATCTTATTTGAAATCACTCAAGTGATGATATATTTAGGTGTTTTACCTTAATAAATATTGATGGAATTTATAAGGTAAAATACATAAATAAATATTGATAGAATTTATAACTTAATAGAGTGCAATTTAATTATTTTAATAAGATATTCTTTTTTTTTCATTTTTCCATATACCAATATTTGTTTATAAAAGAATACCATTTTTATAATTAATTTCTTTTTTCTATATTCCAGTAATGCGTTTTATTGCTGCTCTGCCTACTGCCTACGGTCACCGACTCGATTAGCTAACCAATATACCCTGTGCTAGCCTGTATTAAAATGCGCTCAGTTAGTGCAGCGAAGACGCCTTCTCTAAGCTCAGTTCGAGCTCCACCTCTCTGACTCCACCCGGCGTCTTTACCCGCCCCCGCGTCCAGCTGATCTTTGCCTAAGCCACCCTTTATTGTGGCTGTTGCTGTTGTTGTATTCATAGTAGTAGTTGTTGTTGTTGTATTGCTGTGGCTTTTCCTTTTCGTCTCTTGTGCATTTTGTGTGGCGCGATTTGCCCGCGTTTTGCTGGCCTTCGTCTTAGCCAGCATCTGCAGCTGTTTAAGTGCATCTGCTGTGCCCTTCCAAATGGAGCATGTCGAATTTGTGGTAGTGCTTGTTACATATATGACTATATTTATAATATGATATATCTATACCTATATATCTCAATCTAATTATTGTTGTTAATAAGTGAATAAATATTACTATATATACATATATCTWTTTAAGTATACATATATACCTAAGTAAACCAGAAAGCTAAGCTAAGGCCTTCGACTTGATGTTGTTCTTGTTATATTTGTAAATTTTTAATCAAATTTTACCAACACCCACACATCACTAGCTATGTAAGAGCAGCATCACTTGACCTCTGTCCGCTCGCCCTAGGATCGTTCGTCTTATGTTCGCTCTCCTTACGATAGCTCATCGAATACATAATTTCTGTATTTACTCCCAGCTTACCTATTGAATGAAGCCAGTGTGAAATTGGAACTCAAGGCGACCGGACGCTGCTCCGATATTTGTGAATCCCTATATAAGAAGTAGGCAGCAGCAATCCAATGAAACTTGCTTAGTCATTATCGTTAGAGTATTTGTTTAACCAGACAGTGATATACTAATTCATAAAATTTTCCTTGAACCTTTCAGAGTAAATTTCATCAGAAGTCACAGAGAGAAAAATTTGTGTTTGGGCAATATCATTTTTGAAAATATCTTATATTAAATACTATTTTTTCTTCTTCAATTCTGCTCTCTCTTCGAAAGGGTATTCAAACGTCTCTCAACCCTTGACCCGCTTCTCTTCTCGTTCACATTTGACATACGCCATCTCCGTGCTTGGCCTACTCGTATTTGCAATACAGTTTCACACTCGTATTTCTCATTTAGTTGCTATTGCTCTCTGCCCAGAAAAAATTCCCGTGTGCCTTAGTGGACGTTGCTCAGTTTCAGTTGGAGTTTTCCGTCAGCTCGTTCGTTTCCCATTCACAATGATGAATGAATGAATGAATCGCATGTGTAAYTCATTTTATTAGTCGTTTCAATCAGAGCTCGCATCATAAGTGCGCTTAAAATCTATCTGAAATTTATGCGGCTTTTTATCTTGTTGCCGCAATTCTTCTTCATCTTCTTCTTCCTCTGCATTAAACTGATATGCCTAATGATCGATGTGCATGAATGTAGGTATGTAGGTACATTCGTATATGCTAATATTGAGTGCAGTTCCTGAGAGAAATACTAAGCTGAGTCGAGTTGGCCAGGCCGAAAAAAAAACCAAAAACGAGTTTATGACGCAGCTTAATTGTTGCCCTGCAAGCAGTTGTACCGAATGGGCATATTGACTATGTGAATCGTGGAGGTAATCGACTTCAGATGACTTTGAATATTCAGCAAGAAGTATTCCTGGCGGGGCTGTTAAGTTGAGGTGTTGTAGGGGACTACAACTATAAGAACCAGACTAGACATGGATGTAAAAGGTCCGTTTCCAGACATGGGTCGGTAACATTGGATAAGTTTGAACATAGATGCAAATTAAGATTTCTAGAATAAATTTAGATTTTATTATTGCATTTTCAATGAAATCGATAAAAATCGATATAAATGTTGTTTTCATAGATTTCATAGATTTCGTTCTATAGGCATAATTTGCTCATAAACTGCGCACATATTCAAATAGATCTTTCTCTTTTAATAACCCTATCTCCATCTCTTTATGCATCTGATTTGTTTATCAATGATAGAAAGCTAGAATATTTTAGATTCAGAGTATTCCCAAGTTCAGCACTCTCTCTCTCTCTTTCACTCTTTCTCCATAGTTCATGCCAACTTCTATTTAATTAGCATATATTTCGTAAGACATTAGAACTAGCTGCAAGTGTGATCTAAGAAGTTGCCAGAGCTATTGAATAATAAGTAATTGTAAGTCCAACTAAATATTTTTTGTCTGGAATTCCAATAAAAGCAGATTCATTAATTATATTTTTCGGCCTCTTCGGCCTGAGTTGATCTCTGAATATTTCCCCACGCTGATTCACTGTGTTGTGTGAATAGTTATGCAAATCGAGCTGTGAGTGTTTTATTAAAATACATTCGGCGAAGTTTCTATAGAATTTCTTTACTGTTTTTATTTTTGTTTTTATGGTTGTTGTTTTTTTTTTTTTTTGTTGTATATTATAAATAACGTAATGGATGCTAATTCGTTGTCGACTGCGCCATATAAAAGCGACGCATTATCCAAACTTCTAGCCAGGTTAAGAGTGAAGACGAGACAAGACGCGACATGTTCAAGCCAACAATCTGCCTGTTCGTGCTGGCGGTGGCCAGTGGTGCTGTTAGTGGTGCCAGCATTGGCGGCAAGCTAATCAACGATGTAACCACCGAGAAGCGTGAGATTATTCCCCTGCTCAGCTTTGAGGTGGACAAGAAACCCGACGGCTCGTTCCGCTTCCAATACGAGGGCGGCGATAGGAGCTACCGCGAAGAGACCGGCTCGGTCAGCAATGCCGGCACCGATGATGAGGCCATCGAGGTGAAAGGCTCCTATCGTTATATCGATGCCGATGGCCAGGAAGTGGTGGTCCACTACACCGCCGGCAAGAATGGCTTCGTGCCCATTGGCACCAACATTCCCGTTGAGATCTCGAATCTGGCCAAGGCAGCCGCCGACCTGCCCGAGTACACCGAGGAGCAGCAACGTGCCGATCGCTACAATCAGCGTCGCGCTCGCTCCAAGTCTGAGGAGCAGCCCGTCGAGGCAGCTAAGACGCTTGTGGCCGCTGAGCCCGTCCAAGCAGAGGCAGCTGTGCCCGCTGAGTCCGTCCAGGCAGAGACAGCTGTAGCTGCTGATGCCGCCCAGACAAAGACAGTCGTGGCTGCTGAGCCCGTTCCAGCAGAAGCCGAAGCAGTCGTGGCTGCAGAGTCCGTCAAGACTGAGACAGTTGTACCCGCTGAGACCGTCAAGACGAAGAGACTCGTGACCGCTGAGCCCGTGCAAGCAGAGACAGTTGTAGCCGCAGAGTCCGTCAAGACGGAGACTGTCGTGCCAGCTGAGCCCGTCCAGACGAAGACTCTCGTGGCCACAGAGCCCGTCCAAGCAGAGACAGTTGTAGCCGCAGAGTCCGTCAAGACGGAGACTGTCGTGCCAGCTGAGCCCGCCCAGACGAAGACACTCGTGGCCACGGAGCCCGTTGTAGCGGCTGAGTCCGTYAAGACGGAGACTGTTGTACCCGCTGACTCCAAGACGAAGACACTCGTGGCCACGGAGCCCGTTGTAGCCGCTGAATCCGTCAAGACGGAGACTGTCGTGCCAGCTGAGCCCGTCGAGGTAGTGAAGACTCTGGAGCAAGTCAAGGCAGCTGAGCCCGCTGTCGCCGCCTCTGAGCTTGTGCCCGTGAAGGTGGTGAGCAGCCTGGTATGAAGAATCCTGAGTGATAAATGAGACTTAATACGATTCTATGTTAGTATTTTAATTTCTATATTTGTAAATTGATTAGCAATAATAAAAACAACAATGAAATAAGTGAAAATGATCAACTGCGAATTTAATTTAAAATCATTTAAAAGCTTAAAATAAAACAATTTCGACTCAAAATTGAATTGAGCAAACAATTTCAGCTGCAATGCCTAAAGCAGATCTTCAGATATGAATTTTGGCTATTTAGCTATGAAAATAATAATTTATATATCACAATAACTAACATAAAGAAAGATTTAGCTAGTTTTTTGCGAACTTTCTATTCTTGTATAAAAGACTTTTGTTGATTATAACTATTATGTCATCAATGCCTAATTTCATTCATTAGCAAAGCAATATACTTCTTTAGCGCTGCTTGCAACTGACAGAGCTGCAAATCTCGTCTATCTATAGCCCCTGAGATCGCACCCAAAATGTTTGCAAAAAAAATATCATGTTAATTGCCAAATAATGATGTCATAAAACTTTATGGAGCCACAGAGGCTGCTGTGATGATGAAACGTGAGTTTTGTGGACCATAAAAGCTCTTTTTACTCTCTCTCTCTCTCTCTCTCTCACTCTCTCTCTGTCTCTCTTTTTGCCACTCTCTGTAATCAAAACCTGAGGTAGAAGTTCTTCTACTTAATGAATGTAGCTTGAAGATTAAAAATTCGGGATCTTCTGGCTTAATTGATAGGAGTTGAAAAATTTGCATAATTAGTTGAGTCATTTGTCATTGCTATGATGCTGTCCGATAATTGAGCATTCAACTTCAAATCCTCGTGCTAAGTGTAATAAATCATGTGTGCTCAGTCGGGCCATAGATTGGCTAATGCTGCCAGACGTTTCTGTGGTGCGAAACAAATTAATTACAGCAATGAATCAAGCATAAACAGCAAAAGTGATTGATGCTGCACTGAAGATTGATTGATTGCTTACGACTCATTATTAAGAACTGTGTACATAGAGTGACAGAGCATAGACAAATAAATAGATAAAAATATCAAGTAAAATCAATTATCATTAAAAATAAAAATATGAACTGAAAAAGGATTAATTAAATAAAAATAATAAAAAAAATGAAATTAATCAAAATAATAAAAAAATAACAAGTAAAAATTAAATATGTAAGATTAAATATTATAAAAAGGTCTTTTAATAAAAATACGTACATTTTTAAAGCTATGCATATTTACGAAAAAAAAAAAAAACTCGAAAATAAATGAATTAAAAATATAAAATATCTGTAAACAAGACAATTAACATCTTATTTCATATTTCACATAGCAACTACAACAAGTTGAACTATGCCAAGCTCCACTGCAGCATCGAAAGCGACTAAACGCGTGATTATCATCGATTGCGCACGCCTGAAGAGAAGCATCGATGTGGCTCCCCAAAGCATCGAACAACATGCTAGTGTGTCAAGTTTTTGTTTTTCAAGGTCTACGAAGTTGGGAATTTCTAGTCTTTGCTTATAGAGAGAGAGAGAGAGAGAGAAAGCGAAAGGGAGAGGGAGATAGAGAAAGATTATGCAAAGCAGCAGACGAAATTGGGTGTATTCAAATATTTCCTCCGCTTGTCAACGATTCAATATCTTTGATATTTTTCGTGTTAAATTTTATTGGCATCTTCATTATGTTACATAACTATTTCACTGACTATATTTCACCTTCGACTCCAATTCAGAGTCGACGTCGTTGGGCAAATCCTTGGCTGCCTCAGCCACTGCCGTGATATCGGGATTAATGATGGAGCCATAGGGCACAAAGCCATTCACACCCGCTGTGTAGAAGACCTCAACGGTTTCGCCGAATTCATTCAGGTATTTGTAGGAGCCCTTGACTTCGAGTGCCTCGTCGTCGGTGCCGGCATTCACCAGGTGAGCCTCCTCTTCGCGCTTGGTGCCATCGCCAGACTCGTAGGAGGACCTATAGGAACCATCCTCGCTTTTGCTGACCTCCGAGTTCAGAATGGGCACGACTTCCTCTTTCTCGGAAACGGGCAAGGCCTGGGCGACGGCCAGCACAGCCAGGACGAACAAAGGTAGCTGCAAGAAATCCAGATCAGGGCGTTAGCTCGACTATCTGCAGAGTTTGCCTGGGGGCTCCAGCGCACTTACGAACTTGAACATTTTCAATATATTTATATATATATATTTTTTTTTTGATATTCGAACTGGATCAACGAAAGCGAGAGTTTGAGTGAGACTAACCCGTGCGTTGGCTTTTATATGCGGCTGGCATTGCGATCAAATAATTCAACGCTTCTCTATGCGCTTAAACATGCCAAACATGTTTGCATCCCGGTTTATGGCAGCTGCGCTACGTCCAAAAACTTTAAACGATGCTCAAATTACTTCACGCTAAATGTCAGGGTCGTTCCACAAAAAAGAAAACAGAAACAACACAAAAAATGTGTCAACCACTGAGGCGGTGCTGCCGATTAGCCACTCAGTTATTCCAGAGCCGCTGCAGCAGTAACTTCCGCGCTCTATTTGCTCCTCTATCTTTAAACTGCATCCATACGATGGCCGTAAAGAACCGACATATAATTTCAAGTTTTATATATTTGTACCTTAACTACTCTAACTCAGAAGTCAAACAATGAACTCAGAAATGATCGTCAAGTGTCTGCAGCATATTCAAATATTTAGTGAGCCAGCAGACCTACCCAAAATTGGACTGGAAATGCCCAGGGCACTTAGTAAGCGTTGTGGCTGTGGCTGTTCGGGCTACTCCTCTGCTCAGGTGTCAGACTTTTTTGCATCTTACACGAATCGCATTCAGATGGAGATACTTACTAATAAATTACAAGAGAGAATGACACAAAGCGCTGACATTTTACATGCTAAATGAAAACATTTGTGGGCTTGGTGGTGGATGCCAATGCTGAGAGGCAATTAATCGCAACACCTTGAGTGGGTGAAGCAGCCAACAACAATGTGTCTCTAGCTTGTAAAAGGTAATGCCAGCTGAGAGCCTGCTAATGGATGCACTGATTGATGCCATCAATTCAGAAGATCTAGCCACAGATAACTGCTGGAATTACAGATATGAAATGAGTTTGAGAGATGAGATACAGATATAGATATAGATACAGATACAGATACAGATACAGATACAGATACAGATACAGATACAGATACAGATACAGATACAGATACAGATACAGATACAGATACAGATACAGGTACAGATACAGATACAGATACAGATACAGATACAGATACAGATACAGATACAGATACAGATACGGATACAGATACAGATACAGATACAGATACAGATACAGATACAGATACAGATACAGATACAGATACAGATACAGATACAGATACAGATACAGATACAAATACAGATACAGATACAGATACAGATACAGATACAGATACAGATACAGATACAGATACAGATACAAATACAGATACAGATACAGACTTCCTCCTCATAGTTCGCCTTTTTACATCTCATCAATCAGTCTTCGCTCAATTTCTTCTTCTCCTATCTTGTTTCCCATGAATCGCAGAAACTGTTAAATATCTCATCAGCAATTAAAACTTGTTGCTTGATAAATGCTTCAAATTAAAATTCTAATTAGCTGCATAAACTGTGTTTATCGCTCTCCTCGATAATGAAAAATTCAATTGAATTCGCAATAAATATCGAGAGCCATAAACTCAGAACAAGAAGATTTGTTGAATGCCCAGCAGAGAGAAGAATAAACATTATTATTAATTTAGCTACATTTTTTATTGGCGTCGGTGTCGACGTCGGCTCTGACGACATTTGGCAAAAGGGCATAACCCGGACTAGAGAGCCGTGGGGCCCAGTGGGCCCCAGCTCGAGATCGAGCTCCAAAAATAAGAGCCAACTGAAATTACCATGTTGCAAATTGTGGTGCCAATAAAAATTGCCACAATTTATATTTGTGACAGGCGCAGCGAGGCGATGCACGTACTCAAATTAAATATGTGCACGATGAGCAGCTTTACGACCAGTGTTGGTAGCCGTCAGAGCAGAAGCAGCAGCAGCATCAGAAGCAGCAACTGCAGCAGCAGCTGGTGTTGTAAGTGCTTGAGCTGTCCATTGGGCCATTTGCTCTCGCTTTGGCGCTCCCCATTTCGGCATAGTTGCCCGCTGAGCTGGCCAAGTGTCTGAGCTGGCGATTTTTGAATTGAATTTATTTACTAGCCAGGCTACGTTTAGTTTATGAATCGTTTATTTTCAATAATTGTTTGAGTAACATTTACAAAAGTGCGACAATCAAGGCAGTTTAGCCGGCGCATAACAACTCAACTGCTGCAGCTGCCAAGCTGAATGTCTTCAATTGATCTACTCTTAATATTCTTGGCTTGATATTTATTTTATTTGTATCCTATTTCCATTAATCTTATGCTTATTTTGTAAAATTGCTTGAATATCATTTGAAATTATGCTTTAAGAATAGTTTATACATATCTTATTTGATATTTTTTCAAAATTTAATTAAACAACATTTGAAAAAGTGACTTGAGCTGACTAGTTAAGCAGCGTATAACAGTGTATAACAGTTCATATAATGTACTCAGTGATCTTTTCTCTTTTCTCTTAATGTACTTTAGAGCTTTAATAAATGTACGTAACTAAAAAGTGTTTAGTTTAATACTCTAGGGAATACCTCTAATAAATTATTTGCTTACTTACCATTCTATATTTTCTACATTTTCCATTTCCAAGTTTTGTTACTCACCTTTTGCTGATTCATAAAAATTAAACTAAAGCATCACAAAAAAAAAAAAACATATTCTGTTTACTTTTATAAAAATAAACTTTATTCTTAAATATACATTTGGTACATTTTCTTGTAATACCTTTCACATATCTGGTTTGTATAACACTTTCATAACAATTCAAATACTTTCGGCCTCACTTTAACTCCTTTTGCCCGCTCTCACCTCCAGTGATTGCACCGCATTCCTCGCCGCGTCGCTTATTTCCTTGGGTATATTCGTGCCCACGGGCACAAAGCCATTTTTATCAGCCACATAGCTGACCTCCACCTGCTTGCCATCACTGTCAATGTAACTATAAACACCAGATACTTCTAGTTCCGTATCGTCATCATCATCCGCATTATTATTATCTTCCGCAACAGCTGCAGCAGCAGCAACAGCTGAGTGCACATCTTCATCATCTGCTGATCTCATGTGATTCTTGGAGCGTCTTACGATGCCAACCTCCTCGCGATAGCTGCCATCGGCGCCTTCATAGGCAAAGAAATAGGAGCCATCATTTTTTTGCTCGGCTAACGACTTGATAATCGGCACCAGCTTCAACTGCTGCTCAGCCTCAATGCCCCAGCCGCCTGTGCAGCAGAGAGCCAAGAGCAAGCACTACAAAGAGAGTGAGGGAGAGAGAAGTTGATGAAAGATCATTTCTGCTGCTGCTGCTGCTGCTGCTGCTGCTGTGGTCGTTGCTTACCAATCGAAACATGTTTTATGGCAGTTCTTGTGAATTTATGCTAATCGCAAACAGTTCTTGGCGCTTTTATACCATTTCACTGATTGTGCTGGGTCAATAGAAAGTTGCGAGACGAGTCGCAAGGCGCAGATAGAGTCGTTGAACTGCATTTGCAATTTAAAGTAGCCGAAACCGAGTTATGTAACCTGCCTTAATTTGGCCATTGTCTGCGTGTTAAATGCGACACATCAGCTCGTTGCTGCCGTCGGTCTGTGGGCGCCTATCTGAATATCTAACAGCTTGTAGCATGAGCATGTGAGGTGCAGCAGCAGCTAATAAAATTTGTCAAATTGCTTGTACAAACATGTCGCCAAGTGGGCGTGGGCCATGCCCCAGCGACCAACGTACGTGCAAAGCCAAGCCAGAAGAGAACAACAACAAAAAGCGAAAGGTGCTGCATATGCAACGGCTGACTGGCGAAGAAAATGGCTAAGCTCTTTTCCACTTGACTACCATGCAAATTCTTTGCCACAGTTTCAATTTGGAGTTTCTGAATTTTTGAGTTTTGTATCTTTCGAACTACGCTGTTACAGTGGGTGGGCACTGAGAAGCGACTAACATTTATGCCAAAATACTCAAAAAGAAGCAAAGCAAAAACAATTTTTAATAATTTTTGGCAAATTTCGCAACCAGACATTGGCAACTGTTTTTTTTATTTGTCTGCCAAAAGACTTGCTAAATGCCCTGTAAAATGGGAATTGCAGTAGTGTTGTTAATCGAATTAGTAGTATTGTAGTGTAAGTAGTAATTAGTAGTAATGGAAAGTAGTAGTAGTGGAAATATTACTCCAATTAGAAGTTTTTTACATACAATACGGATCAAAGAGTTCTCCAAGTTTAATACCTCTATATAATGTAATAACTATAAATTTTATTTTATATATTTAAAAGTCATCGTATATTAATTTTAGTAGTTTTGTTTATTATACTATAATAAAATACTTAAATGCATTCTAAGTCGCTTCAATTCTAATCCAAAAATTGCATTTTTCTCAATTCACAGGGTATCTTGCTGTTGGATACTCAGCAACTCTCTCGCTCTGATTCGGTGTTGGCATTTGCCTTGGCGTCTTCTGGGCGTCAAACACAACACGCCCAGTACCAAAAGACAGGCTCCAGCTCTGGCTCTGGCTCTAACTCTGGCTCTGGCTCTAGCTAAGTTTCTAGCTCTGTCTCTATCTCTGTCTCAGTCTCAGCCTCTAGCTCCGGCTTCGAGACTTATTAATAAATTGATTCTGAGACGATTCGAAACTAGTCTGGCTGCTGAAATGGAAACACTTTAATGAGTATTGAGTGGTTGCAATGCCAACGAGTGCATAACTTAGATGCGACACATTAACCTTTACACAGCAATTGCAAATGCAAAACGAAGAACCGGAACAGCAGCAGGAATCCACGCATACGCAGAGAGAGTGAGGCAGAGAGAGGGGGACAGAGAGTGACACGAATAGAGAGCAATTGATCGTATCACATTGCAGATTCAATCAATTAGCAGTAATTAACCTGGCCGAATGCTATACCAGTTGCCAAATGCCAAGTGCCTCGGTCTCGGCAGATCATTCAATAATATCGCCGAAGCGAGAAGGCGACTGCCCGACTCGCCGACACGAATCAAAGTTGTTTCCCAAGCGAACAACATTTATTTATCTATGTTTATATATTTTCTTTTACCTCTCTGCTTCTTCCTCGTGTTTTGAGCGTCTGCTCAACTATTGTTCAAATTAGCATACAAACTATTTCGCACTCATTTGCAAAACTATTTATGCCTACAAAAATTAGCAACCGAAATGTTTGAATAAAGAAATTGTATTTAAATTGATAAAAAATTTGGGGTTAAATATTATATTTCGAATCGCTCGAACATTTGACAATGTAAACAATAATATAGTAATGGGAGCTAAGATCAGGGTTGGCACCTTATGATGGAGACGATATATATATATCAGAGGTAATAATAATAGACATTGCATACAAAGAAATCATTTAATCATGTTGGAACAAGTAAGAAAGCTCCAGTCGAGACTGCTCGACTAGGAGATACCCTGAACCCTCCAAGCTGATATTCTAAACATTATGCACTTCTTTTATGCACACATACATACACATGCATCCACACGCACGCATAAGCCTGCGCTCTGCTAACTGCGCAGTAAGCAGCGACTGCGCTTGGGCTGCGCTGCAGTGTGGGCAATATTATGAGAATTTATTTGTTAAATAATTTCTTTTGTAGACATACGATCTTAATGAAACTTTTAGAGCGTAATCATATGGTGAATATGTGTGTATATTCCAAAGCCCAAGTCTCTAGTATTTGAAATACGCTTTTTACAAAAGTGAGGGTGAGGGNTATAATTTTATAACTGGTTTTCGATAAGGTTTTTTATCGATAAAAAAAGATCGGGATGAGTTATCGATTTTTAATGATAAACTTGATATGCGCGCTGTAATTACGGACATTTTAAAAAAAATTTGAAGTCTCTAGCTCTTATATCTTCTGAAATCGACGCGTTCATACATACGGACGGACGGACGGACGGACGGACGGACGGACGGACGGACAGACAGACGGACAGGGCCAAATCAACTCAGCTCGTCGCCCTGATCAAGAATATATATACYTTGTGGGGTCTGCCACGCCTCCTTCTGCCYGTTACATACTTTTAACAAAACCATTATACCCTGATTTCCCATTTTCAATGGGTTCAGGGTATAAAAATCACAAGCAAAACATATAAATAAATTTCCATTATACGAATAGATATGGAATAGATAATAGAAAGATAATATACTCAACTTCCTTATATTATTATTATTTAATATTATTTTAGCAGTATTATAAAAAAAATCTAGTATAGTCAAATCTAGTCTAGTCCATATAGATGCAGGGTACTCAAAGGTATTCCTAGCTTAATGTAGCCTAAAAAGCTTTTTTATTCCATTTCCATACAATATACTTTTAGGCGCCGTTCCAAAAGCTAGCGAAAAAGCTCATGGATCATAAAAAATACAATTTCCGAACACTTAAAAAAAAGAAAAGAAAAATATGCTATAATATATGTAGTTCAACATTGTCTAATACCCAACCGCACCCCCATGAGACATCGCTTAAAAATCTCGTATAGTTTTCCAGGTAATATCTATTCGCCACAGTAGCTTTGACCTTGCCAAAAGCATATCGAACAAAAAAACAACAACCTCATAAAAATTAACATATTCAATTAGTTAGCGAGCAGAACATGAAGCGAGATATGTTCGAAAAAATGAGATGAAAAAAAAAAAAATTGTAATAATTGCAGGCGAGAACGCATTAAAAATGTAAAAATTGCATTACTGTCGAGCACTTAGTTATAAATGACTTTTCAGAACAGATCATAACTGAGTGGATCGGGGCAACACCTTAACATGAACAGCATGACGAATGAGCAATGATAAATGGTAAATGATGAATGATGAATGATGAATGTGAATGAGCAGACAATGGAAGAGGCTCAAGAGTAGCGAAGCAGACAGAATTCACAGGTTTATCTATGGAAGAGACTTCTGGCCAGTTAACTAACTTAATTAACATATCATCTTCAACTTCACCTTGACCATAGGGCAGATAATTGCGTATACGCCGTGTTTGCGACAGATTTCTGAAAGTTGGGCTTACATCTAGAGCAGCAGAAATGAAGGTAATAAAACAGCATTAAAACAAAAGACAGAGCCAGCTAAGAGATTGTTTCGTGGATGTGTATATTGACTATACGCCATGGATGCCTCAGTGAGGTCTAGCTGAAATAAAATAACTTCTGACTATTCGAAATCCTCAGCTCAGCTGAACATGACATACAGAGCACATAAAACTAACCTCTGTCCATAGAAATAAGCAATTATCAACTTTCAGCAACTGCTTCATCGCTAACCTTGACCATTGGGAAAAGTTACGTATACGCCATGGCAGCCCCAGAAACCCAAAAGCCTAGCTGCAGCTGCGATCGGGAGCAGCGCAAAAACGAACACAGCTCACATCAGCACATAACTCACACAGACACCTTAAGAACAAAAGAATCGATGTAGGAGAGGGAAAAAAAGTGAATAGAAATTTGCATACGGCAATCTATGTAGCTGGCGGGGCATGCATCTTCTAGATGCAACATCATAAATATAGCTGCACATAGCAGCTGGAAATTCGTTTGTCCTTCTGTCAATGGCCAATAAAAAACCAATAAAGCTGCCAACCAGCAAGCCGTCAGTCGCTGCTGTTAACACGATTCGCATGTAGATAAATTACAGCCCAGCAGCAAATCGAATGTGACAATGCTCGACTCTGCGATACCCTGTATGCAGTTGCTGAAAACAGCTAGAGTATGCTATGATGTCTTTGAGATATATTGATATTGATTTAATTAAACAGAATAGTCGATAATTATCGATGCTGAGTAATAGTAGACTTTGATTTAGAATAACCGATATTTATCGATTTTCCGGGAAAAACTCCCTCATCATTTGAGTATTTGTTTAATATGAATTATTGATATTAGAAAGAAGAATAATATTTAGTTATCGATACTTATCGATTTCACAAGCAGCTATTCTTGTAATCAACTTAATTGAGTATGTAGTAATACTTACTTCCATGCAGTGTTGCCCAGGTAGTATACCCTCTGCCTACTCATAATGCATGCAGGGTATAACAAGATCAAAATCAAGATCAAACCAGCAGTTGGTCAGATATGGCAGCTGCCCATATGCTGGCTGCAGCTAGCGAGCGAGTGGACTGGACAGGAAGACGTTGCCGTTGGGCGGCCGGCGATTCTTATGATCGAGCTGCGCTTTAGGGCCTGCCTTGGTTGAGCTTGGCTGGCTGCCAAGCTAAGCGAAGTATAAATAGATCTGGCCCCAGTTGCAGCATTTGCAGTCTAGTTCAAGTGGCAGCAGCAGCAGCATCGATACTCCGATACTCCGTTACCCGTTTCTACATCCCACCCACACACTCAGCGCGTGAGTGTAACGTCAAATTTATCGAGCGTGTAATTTGTTAAGCGATTTTCCCGTTGAGATTTATGACTACGTCGACAGCTTAAATGCGGGTAAAGCTAAGCTCAGCTTCCTCTCTCTCACTCTCTCTCTCTTTCTCTCTCTCTCTCTCTCTCTCTCTCTCTCTCTCTCTCTCTCTATTTTGTATTCTTACTCTCCCTTAAACCGAGCTGTGAATCTATTCTTGTTTCTTCGAATTTTTTAGTGTTTAGTGTTTTGTGTGCTCATAGCCGTTGGCCACGCCCAGCTGCCCAATGCGCCGTTTCAGCAGACGCCCTTCCAGCAACGCCAACTGCAGCAGCAGCAGCAGCCCCAGCAGCCACAGCCACCGCCCCCGCCCTTTCAACGCCAACGTCAACAGCCACCTGGGCAGGGTCTGTTTCCAGTGCAGGCCAATCCGCTGAATCCTCTGAGTCCGCTCAATCCGCTGACACCCAATCCGTACAGTCGCTACAATCAGTATGCGCAGCAGAACTATGTGCCGATCACCGCCTATCAGAACGATCTGAACCTGGATGGCAGCTTCTCCTATGGCTATGCAGCTGCCGATGGCACCACGGCTCAGGCACAGGGATATGTCAAGAATCTGGGCTATGGCGAAGGTGTGGAGGCGCAGGTGAGCATTTAATACAAATAACGCTACTCGGACTTATAAGAGGTATAGGGTATATGAACTATAGAGATCATTAATACCTTGAATGAGTATTATGTAGTCGCTTATTCCCGACAGTCTGAAATTTCGCCTTATTGTTCTCTTCTCTCTTACCAGGTCATCCAGGGCTCCTATTCGTATACTTCTCCCGAGGGCACGCCCATTACCGTGCGCTACATTGCCGACGAGAATGGCTTTCGTGCCGAGGGCACTGGCATTCCCGCCACGCCCTCTTACTTTGTGGGCGCCCAGCCGTACCAGCAGGGCGTGATAAACCCGAATCTGAATCCGTATCAGACACCTTTCAGGCAATTGCCCACAGGCGCACAGGGATTTCGCCCCGGCCAGCAATTGACGCCGCAACAGCAGCAGCTGCAGCAGCAGCAACTCCAGCAGCAGCAGCAACAGCAGCAGCAGCGCAACTTTCCAAATTCCGGACAATTTCAACCGGATCAGCCATTCAATAACCTGCTCTCCGGCAATCTGCCAGCTCAGTATGCGGGTCAGTTCGGTCAGCCACTGGGCGGTAATTTGACACCGCAGCAGCAGCAACAGCAGCAGCAGAATCTCAACCAGCAACAGCAGCAGAATCTGAACCAGCAACAGCAGCAGAATCTCAACCAGCAGCAGCAGCAAAAGGATCCACGAAATGAGCAGCAGCAACAGGCGCTGATCACACAGCAGCTGCGCGGCAGACCCAACCAGCTGGTCGATCCCTTTGGCTACAACCAGTTCAACAGACGCTTCAAGAAGTCATCCAAGCAATAATTAATTGATCGAGCAATACTTCAATAATCTGCATATACTTATAAATATATCTATATAAATCTATTTGCGAATTAGTCGATTTAGTCGCATTCAAATGCGTGATATATACATGCGCCTATAAAAAATCAAACTGTTCGTGTTTCATTTAAGAATTCCTTGAAATTCGATTCTTACTTAGGCACTTTTAGGTAATTTTCTCTATTCATTAACAGAGTTGCTTGGCTTTTCCATGTTAGATACCATCATTATGTTAACAAAAAGTGAATGAACGCCTAAACATAATGTTTATAATGATATGTTCCTTAAAGATGAACTAATGATATATTAATTATCATATATTAATTATGTTATATACAATGTTAACTAACAGAGGCGCCAACTTTTGAACTAAACAATAATAATATTTATATTCATTTATATGCAGCTGGTACTTGAAATGAATCGACCACAACCACACAGAAAACCTACATAGAAAAGATGTCCTGAATTTCTTTTTGCAGAAACTTGTCTAACTACAAATAATAAAGACAGAGTACGAGAAGTGAAGAGTCTAGATAATCGAGACTGCAACAGCAGAAGCGAATATGCAATGCTTTAATAATTCCCAGCCTACGAGTATGCCATGAACTATTTCAACTTTCTTAAGATTTTATTTTGCTCAAAAAAGCTTTTAATACTTGCAACTTTCTTTAACTAAAAACAATTGTTATTATTCAAAGTACATCTAATTAATATCGTTTAATATAAATATAGCTTAGCTATATCGCTTATAACTAAGTCTTAATTTGGAAAGACAGGATTCTTTTGGAATTGTTTTTTAGAAGCGAAACTCTTTCCTATGAGCTAAGTACTAAGAGTAATTAGCGGCAGAATGCGTTGCATTGAGGTTTCATTCGTCTTCATCTTTAGCGCTCTAATAGATGTAACCGGACTGTGGATCGAATTCGCCATTGCCACGACCGCCACCAGAAGCAGGAGGAATGTATTGCGCACCAGGTCCACCAGCACCGCCAGCACCACCTCGTCCGGCACCACCGCCAAATCCTCCAGCGCCACCTGATCCAGCAGCACCACCACCAAAGCCAGGAGCGCCTGCTCCTCCCGGCGCACCACCACGACCAGGAGCGCCTCCAGCTCCACCGCGACCGCCAGCACCACCAAAGCCTCCAGCGCCACCTGCTCCACCAGCACCAGCACCACCTCCGTAGCCAGGAGCACCAGGTCCACCTGGTGCACCACCACGACCAGCGCCGCCGCCACCGCCAGCTCCTCCAGCTCCGCCGGCACCACCGCCATATCCGGGTGCGCCATCTGCTCCACCACGACCAGCACCTCCAGCGCCACCAGCTCCACCTGCGCCTCCACCGTAGCCTCCGCCTCCAGCACCACCTCCTGCACCTCCGCGACCAGCGCCGCCACCGAATCCACCAGCTCCACCACCTCCAGCGCCGCCTGCACCACCGCCGAAGCCTCCAGCACCACCTGCTCCACCGCGACCGGCACCTCCTGCACCACCGAAGCCTCCAGCTCCACCTGCACCACCTGCACCTCCACCGTAGCCTCCGGCACCAGCTCCACCTCCAGCGCCGCCTCCGCGACCAGCACCTCCGCCACCACCAGCACCACCACCGAAGCCACCAGCTCCAGCACCGCCTGCACCACCTGTGCCTCCTCGACCGGCACCTCCTCCAAAGCCTCCAGCACCACCGGCTCCACCAGCACCACCGCCAAATCCGCCAGCTCCAGCACCGCCTCCACGTCCAGCGCCTCCACCACCACCTGCTCCACCAGCACCTCCGCCAAATCCATCAGCTCCAGCACCGCCACCAGCACCTCCACGACCAGCGCCTCCACCACCACCAGCACCACCACCATAACCACCAGCTCCAGCACCACCGGCACCGCCTCCAAAGCCTCCACCGCCACCGGCTCCGCCAGCCCCACCACCGAATCCACCAGCTCCAGCACCGCCTCTACCGGCGCCTCCGCCAGCACCAGCACCGCCGCCATATCCTCCAGCGCCTGCACCACCACCGGCTCCACCGTAAGATCCGGCACCACCTGCGCCACCACCACCACCTCCACCTCGTCCGCCGCCTCCTCCGTAGCCACCAGCGCCAGCTCCTGCTCCGGCTCCAGCACCATCACCACCTGTACAATTTAATAATGTGAATTAATGGAAACTGAACTCCACGATGGGCAACTAACTGATCAACTCACCTGTACCACCACTGTAGCCACCACCAGGAAGCGGAGAAATGCCTTGAGCAGCCAAGGCCTTGGCTATGGCTTCAGGTATGGGCGGTGGAGTGGGCAGAGCTGCGCCCGAGGGCACAAAGCCGTTCTCATCAGCTGTGTAGGAGATCTCAACCAGTTCTCCCTCAGGATTGGTGTAGGTGTAAGAGCCCATTACCGAAGGAATCTCATTCGCAGAGCCCTTGTTCTTAACGGTGCCCTCCTCCTGAGCCTTGATGCCGTTGCCCGTCTCATAGCTGAAGCGATAGTTGCCATCGCCATCGTTTTCATTCACAAACGATAAGATGGGTATGGGTGGGCCGCCTGCAGGTGGTGCAGGGGCAGCTGGACGTGGCGCCGGAGCACCACCAATTGGTCTGCTCGGTCCACCACCGCCTGAGAAGCCACCAAGTCCGTTATTGATGCCACCCAGTCCATTGTTGCTACCACCAAAGCCACCGCCGCCGCCGCCACCACCACCACCCGGTCCCTGTAGACCCGCACCAACACCACCACCCGCACTGGCTGCATTCGCTGGCGGTGGCAAATATTTGTTATCCAGTCGCGCCGCCTGCGTCAGCGCCAGCAGCGTCGTAAACAGCGCCTGCAACAGAGATGAGAGATGGAAGATTAAACACAGCCAGCCAACTGACATTACTAATTTATGCGGCTCAGTGGTGCGGCGAACAGTTCAGCGGTGCATAGCACATGGCAAGCTTTCAGTGGAGCGTCTGACAGCCGTATAACCCATATGCCATCGTGATGCACGTTTTACTCAGAGGGAGGAGCGACGTGCCTGCCCCACCAGCCAGCCAGTCAGCCAGCCAGATGTGTAAGAAGATTTACATAAAAGTCAAACGTCTGGCTCTTAAGAAGCAATAAAAGTTGATTACAAGAGGATACCTATTAGGCTTGGCTGCTGTTTACAGGGTAACTGACAGTTGGGCACTTACATTTAGAACAGCATTACTTATGCCTAAACAGTTCATTGACATACAACAATGCACTTTAACCTCCGGCTAACTTTATGTTAAGTAGTTGAATAGCATGCTTTCAATATCTGATAAAGAAACCTAAACTATATTCAAATAGAGCTAGAAGCCTTAACAACTAAACCTAAGCTACAGGATAACTTCATGATAAACAGTAGAAATCCATTTTGACATTTGCCTATTTAATTTAATATTTATATTTTGCTTAATTTTAAGTTCATGTTAAATAACTGGATGATGTACTATATAATCTAATAAGACAAAGACCTCTAACCTCAAGCTAAATACAGCTAAAAAGCATTTCGGTATAACCTGCAAACTATACTCAACTATAAAACAAAACCAAGATACCCTGATTTTGAATGGGTTTAGGGTATTATTAACAGAATGTCTTCTACAACTCTATTTAAAATAGTCTACTCAACGTAAGTCTCATGATAACTTAATGTTAAACACGCAGACTAGCAAATGTATTTTTAATGTCAAAACGCAGCTACATTCATTCAACTACAGAGAGACACGCTCGGCGCTGAACCGCATGAATCACACGATTCATAAATTGTTGGCTGACATGCAAAACATGGCAGATGACAGGCAGAGCTACCTGATAGACGGTGCTTACTTATGAATGAAATATTTAGTAAAAAAGAAAAAACTTTAAATAAATCCATTAAAATATCAAGCAAAAATATTTTAGCTAAGAAATTCATGAAGTCAAAAGTTTTACAATGCGCTCACGTTTTGTCTCAGTTGCTATTAAAACATTTATCGCTGCTCTTCAGGCTAAAGACAACTATTTAAACAATCGACAAAGGCATCARAGCCAAATGTAACGAAGTAGAAGAAGAAGAGGGGAAAATATTATGTATGGAAAATGCTGAACGAACTCTGATATTTGCTGCAACAGTTGCAGTTGCAGTTGCAGTTGTAGTTGCAATTGCTGCAGCGTGTGAACCATTGAGAAGAAGCAATAGCAGAAGGTTAAGCAAGCAAGCATCTCCAGTAAGTAGCAAGTGGCAAGCAGCAAGCGGCATGTGGCAAGTGGCAAGTGGCAGAGCTGCTACCTTAGTCAAGTGTCAAGTTGAAGTTTAAAGTGCTTAACTTTAATTGGCTGCGAGAGAGATGAAGAACTCTATGCCTCAGCCTCAATCAAATCAATATATTTGAAATATTGAGTAAACTGATATATTTGACATTTAGCTGGACTCAGTTGCGCACAGTTGCTGTTGCATGCCTCTGCCTGGCCTGCCTCGAGAGCTCTCCAGCTCGACCAGTTCGTGACTAACTCCGCAGCATCAGCCCATCCTCGTCCTCTGGCCAAGTTGTTGCCTCGCTTATAATTGAAGTCAATTGCAAATTGTGTGCTAATTGGGTCAACTCTGTATAAATCTTAGCCAAGTTGATCTGCTTTTCTAAAATAACAAAAAAAGGGGGCGTCAATGGGGGCGGGGGCGTGCACGAAGATGTCGTTGCTGCTGTTGCTGTTGCTGCTGCTATGGATGTTGCTGCTGTTGCTCATGCTTATGATGTCGCTGCTGTTGCTGATGTTGCCGTTGTTTCTGGTGCTGTTACTCCTTCGGCTGTTAATTTAGATGTCGATGATGCTTATTTTGTAGTTTTTGTTGCAGTGATTGCAAATGCTGTTGTTGCTGCTGCTGTTGCTGCTGGAGCTACTCTTGTTGGTTGTTGATATTCTTGATGTTGATGTCAATATTACTGTTGCTGTTGTGGGTGATGTTGCTGTTGCAGGTGATGTCTCAGAATCTGTTATTGATGATATTGTTCTGGTGCATGTTACTGCTCCTGTTGCTGCGTGTGCTGCTGTTGCTGTTGATGTAGCTCATATTGCTGTTGCTGTTGTTGCTGATGTTGCTGATGCTACTGATGTTGCTGCTATTGCTGATGTTGCTGCTGTTGCTGATGTTGCTTTTGGTGCTTATATTGCTGTTTCTGTTGTACTTCTGCTAGTGATGTTTCTGCTGTTGCTGATTCTGTTGTCTCAGCTTCTGTAATTGTTGCTTCTGTTGCTGCTGCTGTTGCTACAGTTGGTGCTGCTTCTGCCTCTTGCCCAACTTTGCGTGCTGATTTTTCATCAATGAATCAAGCAAATGCTGATCTCAGCTCTCTGATTTTTTAATGGGCTTTTAATTTATGCGTTTTGTCTTAGATCTTTGGGCGCTGTTGCAGCTGCTGGTTGCCAATGTAGTTGCAGTTAAGCTTGTTGCAGCAACTTCGTTTGGCTTTTGTCTTTCGCGTTGCGTGTGCCGCAAAGAACGGCATTTGCGCCCAATTGAGCAACGTATTGAAGACTTGAAGACTATTTGACTGTTGCAATCACTGAGAATTTGATGCGGGTGGCAAAAAGTTCGCATACAACTCGAAATGATATTGCAGTGGAAAAATATTCCGAAATTAAATCAACAAGCAGCCTCACAGAAGCTGAACTTGGATGTAATGAAACGAAATCTAGCTAAACGATATATCTATAAATATATACTGATATGTATATTGATTTCTATTAATTTGAATTCTAAATCTAATTCTTTTTAAAATTTTTCTTTTCCTTAACACAAACACATAATATATTCTATGTACTAATCTTAATTCATTCATTTCTATTCACATTTATCTTCATCTATTATCTATATCTCTTATTTAGGGACACCTACCTACTGAACTAAGAAGAACAAGAGAGTATCCTTAATTCAGGGTTATCCCAACCTGAATTTACCATTATGAACTTGACATGAATTATCTATAAATTTTTGCAAATTAATGTACCTACCTTAAATTATAAATAATTTGTTTAACTTTATTTATTTTAAATAAATACTTTTATTATTACTTTTGTATAATTTCATAGAATTTTTAATTATGATTTTTAATTTGATTAATATCATCATCTACATGCCTCTTACATATTGCTTGAAGATGTTTGTGGAAGTCGAAGTCGAAGTTGATTAGCCAGCTGTGCTCATGATGTAATTTACGAACAGAACAAACATGTTTAGCGTAACCTGTCAATCTCAGCCAAATGCTTTGTGTAAGCAAAGCAAGAAGGGGTATATTAGTTTTGTAGGCACTGTTTAATCTCTTGTAATTATGGAAATATATCTGCAATATCTAAGTGTTCGTTATATAGAAATCTCGAATCAAAAATGTATAGGCATATATATCTACTTCCCAGCTATATGCATCTAAAGGCAAAAAAATTAGTCGAGTATGCCCTATTGTCATATTTTTGCTAGTTGTATATTTTTTTTAATCATGGCAATTACTATTCATGGAAGATTTGTATAAGCTGACTAAGATTTAATATGAAACGAAGCATGGGGTAATACAGATAATAATTATATAATATAGTTTTAGATTATTTTTATTTATTTTATGTATCAATCCTTTTCCACAAACTCACCAAGTTCAGCTGCATTTCTTTGCTTTTGCAATGGTAAAACAATATTGTTCTAAAACTCGTATCCTTCGGGGATTGCACAACACTGGAACACACAAGCGCTCGCACGCACACATACACGCACACAAATACTAATCACAAAATGTGTAGCATCCAAATACGGAGAATCCTTCAAAGTCTATTTATAGCTGTCGCGAATCGCTGTGACGTTGTGGCCTCGTCTATTGTCACGGAACTTGTGCGCCGATTCGAGTGCAGGTTCTTCGGCTTTTATACAAATGCAGCACGAGATCGTTTGGGGCGCCAAATGCAATCGAATGGAATGGAATGGAATGAACGAAAAAAGCTAAMGCTGAAGCTGAGGCTGAGTCTGAGTCTGAGGCTGTGCCTGAGCGGAGATTTTGATACTTTATGGCATTTATTGCAAGCGTATATATATATATATATGTGTGTGTGTGTATGTGTATGTGTTGTACCGCACAGCTGGCAAAAACAATTGCATGCCAAAAGGGAGACAGACACGACAGCAAAGTCTCCGGCTCTGGCCATTGTGTTGGCGTTTGCTCAATGTAGCAGCAAAAACAACAACAGCAGCAGCTACCAGCTCTCCACTCTGCTCAATCTCCACTATCCTCAACAAGAATAGCATTAGCCGCCGCTCTCTCTCTCTCTCGCTCTCCCTCACTCCTCACGCCTTTACAGTTAGGGCGCTCTCACCACTATCAACAACAAGAATAGCATTAACTGTCGCTCTCTCCTGCTCTCCACTCTCCGCACTCGTTACTGTCCTCTACAAGAATGGCATTAGCTACGGCTCTCTCCCACACGCCCGCTGCGCTCTTCACTCTTGAGCGCATCTTTAATTTAGTCAGTTGCAATTGGCAGTTGCCCAGCTACCAGTTGTTAAGTTTTTGCGCTCATAAATTGAAACCCAATCGAAGCTGAACGCTTCGCCGCGCGCGCTCTCTCGCTCTCTTTCTCTCTCCCATCCCATTTTCAACTATCCCATTCCAAATGCTTCCCATTTAAATAGTTTACACGTTTTCAACAGCAGCAGCAACAACAACAACCTCAGCAACAACATCATTTCAATGCATTTGAGCAACTTTGCAGCTTCATTATGAAACGGATGTCAATAAATCTACACGCTGACCCTTTGAGGCGTTGAAATTCTGTTTAGAAATTTAAAAAAATATATATATTGAGCAATTATTTCGTTTGACCTTTTGGAAAACGCTCTGGTCATAAATATCATTAATATCAACAGCAACACCCAAATGTAGCCTGCGGCCAGCCGACAAAATTGCCAAATTATATTGACCCCAACAACAGCAGCAGCAACAACTAGTTACAACAACAGCAACAACTAGCTACAACAGCAACAGCAATAGCTCAAAGGGCAGTTGCTCGCGAAATTTTGTTTAAAGTTTTTGGCCACAATATTGTCATTTGGCTTCATCTGTGGCCAAGTGGGATGTGAGAGTGTTTCTTAAGGCGAGTGCATGACTAAATGATACCCTAAGCTGCGAAGAAATGAGATAGATCTAAATCCAATATTGCCAAAAATCTTAAGGAATCGATTGAACTGTTACTATTAAGTTCAAGGAACTCTATTATTTCTTATATAAATAGCTATTAAGTCTCAATACCCTCTGCTGACATTTCATATAAATACAGAGCACTTTAACATGCAAGCAACATTCATATATATATAGTCATGATACATCTGTATATACCTATAACTGAGCGTAACCAACTTAGGGAATGCACATTGACATTTGAAGAATTGTTATTTGTTGTTGTTACTGTTGCTGTTGTTGCTGTTTGTTGTGATTTAGAAAGGCTGGCAAACTTGGCAGCCGAGCAACAATTGAAGACGAGCATTTGCAGCATGTTGTCAACATCTTCAATATATATTTTCCTTTGTCGTTTTGTGCAACTTTTGTCATATGGCAACACCGATATACCCTGTAAGTCCAAGTGACGCATAAGGTATATTGGCTGAATGTGTAAATCTAGTTATCAGTTATAAGTTTACTTTGCATAACTGCACAGAATTGCAACATATGAGTTCTTATACCCTGTAATCATACTACAAGTCGGGCAATACCCTGTAATTTAAGTGACAAATGGGTCATACCATCCATCAGATATATTATAAATTCATTAACAATATACTATTACAAACAATTTCCTTTTCGCATAGCGTACAGGGCATCTATTCGCCGAACATATCCCATATGTTCTATCATTCTGTGCCCATTCACGCCCAAGCAATGCAACAAGCTGCATCCAAAGTGCATTTGGCCAATTTATTTGTTCTGGCTGCAATTCAATTATTGAGCCAACAAACTGTGAGACACTCGAGAGCAAAAACACAAAAGAAGTTAGATAGAATAATAGACGAATATCAAATACACTTACAACTTATAAAGAAACGCGCTCAGAGTGGAGTGAAGAAACTGAATACGATATACACCCAAAAATTCAATAATTTGCCTATTATTTAGGCTACAGCCAAAGTTTTCAACTAGATCATGCGACCCACAGCAAGAGTATTCAGTTTCAGCCAACAGTTGTCTTTCAGCCCGTTGCAGCAATCGGTAACCCACGAAGAAGGTCAGCCAAGTGGCAAAGGAATGTGCACGCAGTTGGAGACAATGCGTATACGTGATATATGCTGGCTGGTTGGCTGGGCGTGCAGATGTTAATCATACGCCAGGTTGGCCTTGCCAAATTAACACCGAATTAGCACACAAATGAGTTAATGCATATCTGATCAAGGCGAGCTCAAAGCTGTTTTCATAATTATTTGTTTGCGGACCTTAATTGACCCGCCTGAGTCACACTCGGAGTTAACTCTGATGCAATTTCGATGAGTGAGGCAAGTGGCAAGCCGCCGCCTCTGCCGCTGCCGCTGCCTATAGACCTGTCTACGCTTTCATCACAGCCCCACTCTCCGCCTCCATCTCTATTATATCTATATCTACATCTGCCTCTAACTCTGCCTTTGCTTGGGTTTTCCGTTAGCTTAAATAGTTCCTGTTTGAGAATTGATTAGTTTTAATGCAATTATTAGAACTCATCGCGAGTTGTGTAATGCTTGGCTCAAACATAAAGCAGTTCAGCCTTTAGCATTTTATTTTAACCGGCTTTGCACGGCCTCAAAGAAATTTACTTTCAGTTCGAGCTCTCAAATATTTCTTATGTGTTCAATGAAATATGTTTATTTTATTTCACTTAGAACTAACTAAATTCAGTTTCTATCTATAATCTATACAATTTTATACAGCATTTTAGTATATATGTTAATCTTCAATCAATGAAGCACTCAATCGGCAACAAAAGTCTTACTTGGAGCACGATTTGTATGTATGTATGTCACTCATACTAGCTCAAATTTCATTCTGACTTCACAGTTTCTATGAATTGCATCGAATGAACTTATCAAAACATTACTTCAATCAGTCATGCTAACATGATAATCATAAAGAAACTCCTTTGCTTGATTTATAACTAAATTTAAAGTGTAACCTTAAAACTTAATAGCTTTGATGATATAAGACCTTTAGAACTGTTCTTTGATCAATCAATCAATCACCAACAATAGACTTGWATATGTATGGTTGTATGTGTGTGAATGTATTTTATTAGAGACTCTTGTGCATTCGGTTAGGGAAAAATGTAGAAAAGTTGATTTGTTGCTAGCTCGCAAAGCTGCTTAGCTTACTCGCCCGTCATCATTTCCATGAATTCTGTAAAAGAGAAGAAGAAGAAGAGATACATTAGATTCTCAAATATATATATTGTACATACATAGAGATATAAAATTACAGCCATGGATATAGACAACAAAAACTTGAGTACAAAAATAGACAAGGGCAGCCGAACAATCGGAATGGAGCAGCAGGCGAGCTGACAGCAGATAGAGAGAGAGGGAGAGGGCGATAGGAGGGTAGATGGGGGCATGGAGAGGAAGTAGACAAATGGTGTCGCCATGGCCGTCATTTGTATCTGGCATTTGGCCAAGTGTATTTCTTTTGTTAATATTTTGACAGCTGCTGCATAGCTGCTAATTGTGGGAAATCTTACCATCAAAGTCCACGGTGCCGGAGCCATCAGAATCGATTTCCTCAATCATAATGTCCAATTCCTCATCTGTCAGCTGATCGTCCAGCTCGCGCAGAATCTCGCGCAGGCAGGAGGTGGGAATATAGCCATTGCCTTGCTTATCGTACAGACGGAAAGCCTCACGGAGTTCCTTCTGCATGGCCTCGTCATCCTCCTCCACAATGAATTTGGCTGCCAGCTGCACGAATTCCTCGAATTCCAGGCGACCGGATTCTAAAAGGGAATATAAATATAAATAAATATTGAACGGAAATATGTGAAGAAGAAGATGATCATGATCATGGTTCAAGATATCGCTATGATCTATACTATCTGATCTCAACTGTAGAGAGAATTTAAAATTTATTCCAATTTTCATGAGAAGTGACAAATATGATATGGGGGATTCTTAATTTTTGGTAAAGAAAATTCGTAGTTCTAGCTCTAAACCAGTGTCAAACATCTTCATATTGCGATATATTAGCAATTGAATATACCATTTTCACCCTTTTGAGCGAGTATAATGAGGAAAATTGAATATTAATCCAAGTTAATCGTCACTTACTGTCCTCATCGACCTCATCGATCAGCTCCTCGAGAATCTTCTTGTCGAAGGGCTGGCCCATGAGGCGCAGAATATCGGCAACCATTTCGGTGGGTATGCTGCCAGTCTTTTGATGATCGAAGCTGTTGAAGGCCTTCTGCAGCACGGCAATCTGCTCAGGTGTAAGATCGTCATCCTGCAAATCGAAACACACACACAAACAATCAGAATGCGCCCTTCGAATTATTCGAATAATTTCAAACGCACAATGACATCCATGTTTATTTATTTTGATGCTCTGCTTTGTTCTTCACCCGACGGATCAACGCTAAAGACTGTGCGCCCAACTGAATTAGTTCCTTATTTCTTGATATGCTTAAGAGGCGCACACGCATTACACAAGCACACACAGCCACCCACCCACACACACACACACACACACACATGCGCACTCACACAAACATACGTCACTGAATGCTGCATTCCAAAAGTAACAAGCTAATTTATGGTTTTCAACAGTATTTCGAAAATAAGAGCACAGCAAGAGTAATCGCTATACACACACTCAACACACACCCACATAAGTTTGTGTGTGTGTGCATACATTTGAAAATTTTGAAAAACACTGTAAAATCATAGAGCATTTGGCCATGTTTACTTTGCTGTTGGCCAGGCCAGCGCACCGCAAGAACAATTTGAATTTATTTTTTGTTTTTCCATTTGTTTTGTAGTGGTTTGCTAAGCTTAACGTGGAGCACAACGATTATATTTAAACTACACTGCAAGAAAAGTGTTAGCAATACATATTCAACATCAAATGCTACCACAGATCAACAAGAAAATTATTATGAATTTAACTAAAAACAACAAAATACCAAATATATAAAACTGTTCTTGGATAAGATGAAGTGGAAATGGGCAGCACTGGAGTGAGTCCTTTTCAGTTTCACGCTAACAAAAATAAATTTCGTTACTTTCACAAAATTCCCTTCCCTTTTGATGGGCAGCACTTGAGCTCGAATTGATTTTCAGGCCTTTGCGACAAAATTGGCAACACTTTTGATTGCTAGTTAAGTTAGTTAGCAAGTTATTTAACTTAGTTAGTTGGTTAAGTACAGCCTATCATAGTTTCATTCACTAAATATTAAAACAAATATTAATAATAATACAACGTAGACTAGTTAAATATTATTATAATATCAAAATGAATATACTAATATTAATTATATATTAATAGCAACCTTGCAGAAGTAGTTTCTTTATCGAAATATCATAACGAATTTTGTAGCAGTGTATTATTATAACGGCACGCGATAATTATTGAATTAGATTCCCAATTGCCATTCCACACTGTGATTTACTTTGCGAATCAATCAGCGAGCGGAASACACACACACATACATTCAAACTTTGTAAAACATGATAATTTGATCAAATAATCAAAYGGCTGAATGAATTAATTAATTGGTTTCACACATATAATAGGCAAACATACAGGAGTAGCCATGATGAACTAAAAAATACCCTGGAAAGTACATGCAGGCAGATTCTGGATTGAATATAGCAAAAATATCATAGAGAGAGGGAAAAAGAGCGAGAGAGAGACGTGGAGAGTGATAGATGAACAGTCGAGATCCTTACAATGAATATAAATATATACAATATACATACATCTATACAATATAAGTTGCCACGATTTGTTTACCAATTACATACCCTTACCTTATACTATTATACCCCATTCACCCACTAGCAATAATTTCAGAAAATCAACAAAATCCATACAGCGACGCCCACACACACACTCATACTCACACAAACGCACACACAGAGGAAGCGAAAAATTTTATAAGCGATTCGAAAATTCTTTAAATATAAAATTAAATTTTTGTTTTTTCTAAACGGCAGTAATAATTAATGCCTGTTCTTTTTTCATTTTTATTTTACGGTCAAAATAAATGAAACTTAATTGATTTATATTTGCCATTAGGATATTGTATATCTGTTTGTCCCCTATATTCATAGCTATATAAATATTTTGTTTGAATTATGATTTAGTATCTGGGGAAAAAGAGACAATTTTGACGTCATATTTGACATATTGGTAATTTGTTTTGATTTGTTGCGAATGTTCTCGCTAAAATATTGCCCCCATAATTTAGCCACAGAAGAATATGGAGTGATGTGGACAACAGCTGTTCAGTTAATTAGCTGCTGGAATGCTATAAAGTAAGCATATTATAATTGATTCTCATTAAGGTAATTCTTTTCCGTTCTCTTGGAACATTTGTCAGCAATTTCTTAATACCTATTACCATTCATATATTCATTGGGTATATCTAAGCTAAATCTATATATGCCAAATATTTTAAAAGAAACACCGCATTTTCACTTACCTCATACGCAAGGAAGAATATCATATCTATGAGGATTATCCTTATTACTTATTTGACGGCATATAAAACAGGCCATTCAAATTAATTATTATCATTATTAATTACCACATTATAACAATAATTATCATGATCAATATTTTTATTTATTATCAGTTTAATTTGTATTATAACAATATTTGTTTATATTTATTTCTCATTTCATTGCCTTGCTCGCATGGTAATGTCCTCCATGGTAATTCATATCAATCATTTCACAGCTGATATACTCTGATGCCCGAGCTCTGAATGATCGACAGCCTCGACATCTGACGCTGGCGCTGCGGCTGGCGTCTGAGTTGACGTCTTGGCAGCTCTCTTAGCAAGATGTTGGAAAATTAGTTTTCGCTTACACTCCGTCAATAGGTTTTCAGTTGTTTGAGTTGCTGATGCGATTAGCTGCTACGTGTTTTGGAAAACAAGATCAGGCCAGACCAGACTAGGTCCGACCACCAAACAAGCCTGCCTCCGCTGCCTGCACTGAGTAAAAGTTGTTGTTGTTTTGACATTTGATGATGTCGAACTTCAGCTTTGACGTTAATAATGTTGCCTTGATCATCGCTTAAGATCACTTTTACAGACGCGCCAGCGCTTCAGCTCTTGGCCAGATAATTGATGTTGGCTTTGGTTGCCAGCAGCAGCATTCACTTTGCACTGGTGGCAAAATGCTAAGTGATCTCTTTGCAGCAGTCTACAGTTAGCATAGTCAAGGGCAATCATATTTACAGAGAACCTATTTTCATATTTCATAAATATTTAAGGTGTATAATGGTATAAAAGTATGTTTTTTTTTTTTGTTTTTTTTTTTGTTTGTATGTAAAAAAAAAAAAAAATAAAAAAAAGAACATTATTGGCATGAATTTATTTTGTAGCATACTTTTGGGCTGCGCAAGAAACGCACCCACAAATTTCGGTGAAATTAATCCTTGCATACTTTTCTGAGCAGAAGAAAACACTATTTACAAATTGTATAGCATAGTTTTGGGGCTGCGAATTAAATATTTACAGCCATGCGAGAGCCAGTCGAAAATTTTGTTTATAACTCGACTTAAATGAGCAGAGAGTAGAGAAGGAGAGCAAATAAATCAAATGAAAAACATTTTATTTTGTTGAATGACCTTGAACTGCGACTACTACTATGACTGGGTAGCGATGATTCAACTAAAATTTGACGAAAACACCAGGCGAACAGAAATGAGCAGCACGTCGACAATTTCTCTTTAACATAATTCTTTTGGGTGACCTTGAGTACACTGTTAGTTAACATTGAAATGGCACAACTATGTTATCTATGAAACAGTGCGACTTGCGTGCACTGGAATGGGACAAAAACACTAGGCG